CATTTTGGAGCATTTAAAAATACAACTGCTCTGCACCTTCAAGCCATGTGTTGGCAGAGATGTAGTGGATGTTATCTATGGCAGTTCTGCAGTGAAAAGTGCTAGTGAAGTGTTAGTGTTCAGCTGCCAAATAACAGCTTGAATTTTGAGATTAATTGGCTTACATGTCCTTTTGGTTGGCTGCACTTTACCTGGTGATTTAATGGGTTAGATTATTACTGTTATATAACTGTTATAACACGAAAAATGTTTTGGGCTATTTTTAACTAAAAAGTAAAGGAATAAGCCCTTTGCTTAGCATTTTAAGCTCTAAATGTAAGTGTGCTTTTGTCCCTGAGCCAGAGATGATGGAAAAGGGAAGAAAAAGTGTTGCTATAATAGGAATGACTGGTTTCTCATGAAGGTGTAGCTTCAAACGCTGCCAGGGCTCTGTGCAGGGGAACTGGGGAGCTTGCCCCTTTAGACAAAACAGCAGCATCTGGAGGAAGTGGCCTCTGGGACATGACTCAGGTATTACTATTTCACCTGACACATGGAGAGGAAATCTCTCATTGCCTTTTCTGTGTTTGAAAATCTTCTGAATCCTCTTTGCCATGGCTATCACTTGCCTCATTTACCACCTAACCTGGAGACAGCAGCAGGCATTTCATCCTTGCGCTCTCCCCTTCTTTGCAAGGGGAGCAGAGCTGTGGCTAAAACCCACTTGCTGTATGGGTTTGTGGTAGAGAAGTCTGCATGTAATGTCTGAACTGAGATCCAGGTTATTCTGCTGTTACTGCCCCTGGGAGTCCTAACTTTTTATTGCTGCTTACCCAATTAGCCCTCCTGACACATCCTACATCATATGAAGCCTTGCTGTACCAGTTTAAACAGTCACTTCTCATAGATAATGTAGGTTATACTAGTTTAGAATTTTAAAGAATAGCTATTATTTGAGGACAGATGAGGCAAGATGCGCCTCACAGTAGATTTTCTCCTTAGTCTAGTGAAAAAAAAAATAAAAATAGCAAAAGCCCAAAGCTGAAATAATTCAGAATTTTTCAGCACAGAGTAGGTGCTCAAGCACTGGAACACTTTTCCTGGAATCTCAACAGATTTTCTGCCACCTAACAATGAAGATGAGTCCTGTCTGGTCAAATCTTGACACTGTTGACAGGCAAACTGAGCTAGTCACCTTCTTTTTTGTGGACAGGCAATGTAAACATAGAAGCATACTGGGAACATGGTTTGTGTCTGTCCAAATTGGACAGTGAAAATAGTAAGATTAATTTTAAATTGAAAGCGTGCATTTTGCCCTGGTGACTGCAAAGGCAGTTTTGGCCAACTGACTCGTCTGTGAATTTTTGTTCTGTAGCTACTGCAAGTCAGACAAAATGAATTATACTGCAAATTCCTTCTTACCTGTCCTGGGTTCAGCAGTAGCTGTCATTTTTTCCCTCTTATTAGCCGGTGCAGTGCTCTGTTTTTGACTTTCAGCCTGGGAACAGCACTGATAACATTGATGTTTTTAGTTGTTCCTCAGTAATGTTTACTCTGACCAAGGACTTTCTGAATCTCATGCTCTGACAGGGAGGATGGCAAGATGGGAGGAAGCAGAGACAGAACACCTGCCACAAACTAACCAAAGGGGTATTCATACCATAGCACATCATGCCCAATATATAAACTGGGAGCAGTTACCCGGAAAGCCCAGGTCACTGCAAGGGTCAGGCTGGGTGTCGGCGGGTGGTGAGCGACTGTGTTCTCTTCCCTTGTTATTTCCCTTATCATTATTATTATTGGTGGCATCAGCAGTGGTTTGTGTTATACCTTAGTTACTGGACTGTTCTCACCCCGTGAGAGTTACATTCTTTTGATTCTCCTCCCCATCCCTCCGGGAGCAGGGAGAGAAAGCAAGAGGGGAGCGAAAGAGCAGCTGCGTGGTTCTGAATTACTGGCTGGGCTTAAACCATGACATAACTCAAGCTTGTTGCATGGGCTTAGTATGCAAAGGGTAGTGAAAAGCTGTGATCCCGGTGTCATGCAGTAGCTCATATTGGAACAGACTGATCTCAGCCTAGAGGAGGAGTTCTAGTGGAACAACCATCTGCACAAGGAAGACTCTGATATTTGTAGAACTCCCAAAAGCTTAGCAGTGCAGCAAGAAAAGTGGACAACTTAGCTCCAGTATGGTCAGAAACAGCCAAAACAACAAAAGTCACTCTGGAAGCTCTGACTTTTACTTAATTCTCCTCCCAGATTAGGTTGTTCTAGGTAGCAGGCCAGTCAGCATTCATGGAGCAGAAGAAGATGCCAGCAAGGGGTAAGATTGCAAAAAGGGTTTTTAGTACATTGTCTAGGAAGTGAAATCATGACAGAAACCTAAACTGAAACAAAAGTAAGCAAATTCATTAGGAAGTGTTGCAACTAAAAGAAAAAAAAAAAATCTCAGATCAAAATGTTTTATTTGGGAAATAGAAACAAAAATAATAAATACTTAGGTTCAAACAAAGAATTTCATATCAAACCCTAGGAGTCATGCAGAAATGTCTTGTTTTGTGGAGAACATGAATTTGTAATGTTGTTATTTATGTTAAGAGGAGCTGTGGCTGGGGTTGCCTTTATGTGTGTTCCCTGCTTTCAGAATAATGTTTAGTGAACTGAGGAAAAAAACCTTAAAACAACCAACCAACCAAACAAAAAAACCACAAAACAAGACAGTTTTGCAAGGCATTTCCAGCAATGATCCTGCAGATCCCCATTTAAGTAAGCCCTGTTGAACCCTATTGCATACTTTATTGAAAATATTTATGTAACATTAGAGGACAGCAGGTTTGACTACAAAGCCTCTGTAGAGCACAAGCATTCATGTAACTTCAGTTTGTTTATCACAAACATCTAAGCTTGCAGCCACATTGCAATGTTACGAACATTGCTGTATTTTTACTCAGGTATTTCCAAGGCTTTATTTTAAATTAAAAGGGTCTTGACTGTTACACGTTATTTGTCCACACTGCATAGAAAGAAACTCCCAGGGACTTTTATAGTAACTTGGCAGCTGTGCTCTGCAACATAACTAGATCTCTCAAAAGACTGAGTAATTTTCCCCTGCTAATTTTCTTTGCAGAAGAAATAAAAGTCACAGTGAAAATCATTCTTTATTAAATGATATTTGTAGCAAACTGAAACACAGAAAACGAGACTGAAACAATTTATTATTTTTTTTTTCCTTGTTGCAAACTGCTTGTTAACATTCAGCCCTCTGCAGATAGTGAGGATATATATACGGCTTTTGCTATTCCTCATTTCTTAGCAGTCTGCCTGGGGTTGAGGCAAAGGAATAACTCTTAGAATGGAATTACAGAAGGGAATTTCTCCCTTCTATTTCCTTTTGCTGAGAGGGTTATAGTGTGTCCTTCAAGAGGAAATTGAGTTTCTCAACTGAAAAACACACAGTAAAAGGGAAAACTATGTTCTCAAGGAAAACCTTGAGAAACATTATAAGCACTGAAATCTTATGTTGTTACATGGGAAACAACACCTAGGACTTTATGTGTACTTCTGGAATGTTTCCGAGTTGTAGCTATTGCAGGTAGGGCAAGAAATATGCTTGTTGGGGTCAGACCAGGGGCACCTCTAGCTTTTCCATCTGCTTCACTGCATATAAGCCTGGGAAGGCATGTGAGCCTATCTTCTCTGTGGTATTCCCTTCTACTTATAACAGCCATAAGGGTTGGATGAAGGATGCTGAAAGTTACATCCTTCCCTATTCCCTTTCCTGCCTGTTGATGGGCTTGTTGTCCAAATTTGTCCAAACCATTTTAAAGTCTGCTAACGTTGTTTGCCTCCTTCCCAGGGCAGCACATTCCAGAAGTTCTCTATCCATTGCTAAAAAACCCCACTTTCTCTTGTCCCCCTCAGGCTGGTCTACTCATTTCCTTTTTGCACAAAGGAACAGCATACAGTCACTGGCTAGTCACAGTTTTAGGGTTACTCATGATTTTATAAAAAATTGCTGCATTCAATCACCTCTTTTGGACATGGAAAAATCCAAACTAACTTGGTTGCTTATCATACAATACTGGCCTGCAACTTCAACCATCTTTGTTGTGCTTCTCTAACCTTTATCATATGTTCTATGTGATCTGAGAAGCTGTGCATGGTATGTGTTGTATGGTTTGATTTTGAAGATCTGTTAATTCACATCATTTAGCTGCTGAACTGAAAATACTATCTTTCTGACACAGCACTACTATAGAAATTCAGGTAATATAGTCTTCCAAGATACAGAACAAAACTTCTAGCAGTCTAATTACTTAAAACATCAGTTCATTTAAAATCTTAATTTCACAACATAAGAAAAATATCTATGAGCTACTCTTTCACATAATTTTCTGTCAGAAACACAGTGTTTAATGGACAGAACTATTTTATTAGAAAATAAATTTAATATTAAACATTCAGCTTAATTATTGTAAATAATTAATAGCTATGCTGTTACACTGACACTTGAAATAATACTTGGCTCATGAGAAAATTTTCTTTTACTGAGGTTTTGAAATTTTCAGAACACAAAAAGTGTAACTTCAATATTGAAAAGATATACTCTTCCCTGTCTCACCAGAAAACAGGTAGGCAAAGCAAATCTATTAAAAGTACCTTCAGGTTACTTTTGAAAGTTCCTTCAGGGCTGTCATTTCTACAGGTACTCAAGCTACAAGTTCGCTTGAAGTGAGATTGTTTCTTACAGGTAAGCTGGAAGTAATGCTACTTTCACAGAAAAAGGATGAAGAGTACTTTACTGAAGCTTGTGCAGTTAAGGAAATTACAGCAGTTGTTCAAAGCAGCCCTGAGGTTCATACTATTATTTTAGCACATTAAGCAGCTGTGTCTTGAGTCAATTTAATTAGTGAATTGTATGCTCTTTAGTTTGATCATGACCCAAACTCTTTTAATTAATTAACCCAGTTCTTCAAAGCAGTGAAATTGAGTCATATCTCAAACGAAATAATTGTTATTACCTGATAGGTCCCATTAGAAAAGCTCCTGATTTCAGGTAGGACAGGCAAATCAAGGACCTCTTCTTTTTTTGCACACAATTTAAATCTTGCACCCCACTGTAGATGTGTTCTACTGGGGGACAGCTGCTCTCACCGCATTTGGTCAGGTTAGATATATGATACTCTGCTTCTTGTAGTCGCTTCCTTTTTCCCTTCCTTACATTTATCAGCCTCCCAAAACAGCAATGGGAGGGAAATGGAAACTTCACATCTGCTGGGTTTTCTGGCCTTCATTTGTGATAATAATACCTATTTTCTACAATCAAACAGTATTTCTCCTTTTTTAAAAATAAAATATTTTTTTTTTGCCTATGTTCACATTGACAAGTAGCTCAGGGCAATAGGACTGAATCCGTGAATTCAGACATTAGTGCTGAGGCCTTGACATCTACTCCATCATGGGGTGTGATGGACCTACTTCGGCCAGTTCCCAAAGGCCCTGATCCTGATCCCCTATCCCACATATGGCTTAGACCTGGGACCAGTCTTTGGTTCTGACTCATATTCCTGAACTGAAGCTCAGCTGCTGCCTGCCTGGAGCAAAAGCACCAGTCTAGTTTGTGTAGACCAAAAAAGGTTTAAGGACTGAACCATCACACCCTCTATATGATCATGATCAGATTTGCCCTGGAAAAGCTACACTGCTCTAGACTACAAAACAAATGTAGACTTGGCCTTTCTCTCCTTGCAGGTGCCTTCTGCATACCTTTCCACTGCTTCTGATCAGATGCTCTTTGCTTCTATCCTCACCAGCCCATGCTGCCATACTTATCCAGACACATCTCTGACATGGTTCCAATGAGAGTGTTAGGGTTGGATATCTGGAAACAGCTAAGCTCAGCATTCCCCTATTCTGATTAAAAAAGGGTTGACAACACAACCCCAAATTATAACAAAGTGGAAAATGGGAGGAATGATTCACTTAATAACCCAGCAATGAAAGCAGTGACTCAGCTGAGAGGGAACAATGACAGTTTGTCCGCACTTCATCAGTATTGGTATGAGCTGGTATTTGCTCTTTTAACTGTGGCAGTACTGCTGTTTTCCAACCCCATATTCAATCAATGTTTTTGGCTTAATTCTCAGCTGGGACCCACTTTTCCCTCCCCAACCCCCTCTTCTTTTCAATAGCGTCCAGATAGCTAATAAAAGAGAGCCACCTACGCTGAGCTGTTTATTGTTGCCTGTTCCCTGCACGGTTGGGGTGGCAGTGAGCAGGGTACAGGTGATTGAGTGTTAATTAGACCTTTCCCACGCAGCAGGTTTCCCAAGTGCTGCAGTTACAAGTGGCACTCTCAAATAAAAGCCCAGACTGGGGATGCAGCTACAAAATACTGACAAAATATCAATTCTTTAACCCTGCCTTCTTTGCTTTTCTCTTCTGAGAGCATCCCCACACTAGCACCATGTCTCCGGGTAGTAGTACTGCTCTAGCAGAGCTCCACCATACTGGGCTGTCAATATGCCCTCTTTCCCTGGTCCCTCCACAATGGTTCCCAGTTTCTGACTTTTTATCTTCCTTCCTTGCATTCATTTCTTGGATAAAAATAAGATATGCTGTTCCTGAGTCTGTTTTCATATGCTGGACTAAGTGACTGTCATTAGCACATTTGGATGGGACACTCTGACCACATTACAAAACCAATCAGCTCTTCCCATTCATCGAGCATGAGGAAAAATTAGGTGAAAGCTTTTTCCAAGAAGCCTGAGATATACTTAGAAAAGCTGCTGACAGCCCAGATTCTGGCTTGCACAAGGAAACAAGTTTCTCTAGCTGGCCAGTTTGACGAGATGAATGTATTTTCTCACCCAATTAATACTGCTCATGGAAGACCTTACGAGGCTATACAGGCTCCATCAGCCCAGGTTTGAAGATAGGAGTTTTCCTTCTGTGAGGAAGGCCTGTCTTCGCTAATAAAGATTCAGGAAGGGCTTTAACCCACACATTCTGAACAAGACTGTCACCATCCTAGCTAACTAGGCTGTGCCAGTTAAACCTCAGGTTTAAAGGGAGGGGCCAGTTCTGTGCAAGCTGCGCCTCACCTAAAAAATCCACTGCGCAGGCTGGAAGAGCTTACTCTCACTTGTCTGTATGGACAGGTGAGGGTCGAAACGGTAGGTGACAAGGTGCATGGGAACCTGCAGATCCAACCTTGCATGCGGGCGGACCAGCGCAGGGGTCGCTCGAGAACACTCAGGTGATGACAGTCCTGGTCAGACACTTCCTGATTGCCTAAGCACCCTTTTTTCCAAACAGATTTGCATATCCCTCATGCCTTTGGTCATTGTGCTTGCGTGGTTAAAGCCCTTCCCAAATCTTCGCTCACAAAGCCAAGCCATCATGCTCATCATCATCATCAATACTGCTCATAGATCCCTAAGTCAAACCTTCAAAGAATCGAAAAACAGACTTTGCTGGTATTGGCAGACTGTGACCCAACTGGATGGTAGCAAGAAGACTGCGACTGGTTCAGATGATTTTTTATTTTTTTTTCCTCTGTGCAATGGTATTTGCTTTACCTACACCATGACAAGAAAAATCGCGATTCTTTGGTGACATTTCCCATGCTGCCACTGCTGCCTTTATTCACTTTGTTTTCTGTATGGCGAAATCCCCAAGGGACTTTTCTTACCATGAGAAGAATTGGTGTAGGTGATGGTTTTGTCATTTCAGTGGTTAGTATGAGTGAAATCCTTAATCCTACCTTTCAGGAGGAATCTTTCATTTATGTGTAACGCCTTGTAGAGGTCCACAGACTCTGTTCTTACCATCACACATATTGATAGTGAAATTAAAGGTAAAATGCATGTCTTGATCCAGTGTCATATATTAGGATCTGATTATCTGAGCTTCAGTGGTCAAAAAAACACAGTGGCTCAAGAATACTGGTGTCTCCCAGAACTTTGTTTTTGCAGTCCCTTCGTGCTAATCTCTGTGTTCTCAATGGAGACCTGTTATAAAAGAAGGATCTTTAGGATAAGGTATATGCACCTGTCAGTCACTAGCTACTTGCCTAGACAACATATCATAGACCTTTAGATCTCCTAAAACAACAGACAAAGACTATTTTTCCTCTCCAGATACACTGACTTATTCTGTGTAGTAGCTTTAACACCTTTTCCTGGAACACATAGGGAATGGAAGTGTGAATAGTTAATTTACTCTGCGCTTGCTTACTCCGTTATGAATGAAACCTGCATGTAACAGATGAGATATGTTGAGAAGAACCTGACCTTTAAATTTGGCCTGGGAGTAGGGCCTGTTCTCCTAAAATGAACGAAGCCAGATGGTAATGATGAAGAGCAGGGTTTTCCCTGCCTTTTCACAGCCTTCTGCTTAGGCCAGACTCATGGCTTTTGTGTGTTAAACATGACCACGTATCCCATCCCTACCATAAGTGTAAGAATCTTGGAAACACAGCAGGGAGCTTCCTAAAGGTTTTATTGTTTTCAGTTTGCTCACACTTTATCTGTCAGTGATCAGAGTTCTCCATGAGAAGGAGAGGAGTGACATTGTGGCAGGTTTACCTTGACTGGCCATCAGATGCCCACCAAGCCATTCTATCACTCCCACTCCTCAACAGGTCAGGGTGGAGAAAACCAGATTAAAATCTCGTGGGTCAAGATAAAGGCAGTTTGATGATAAAAAGAAAAGGTCTCACAGAAGGAAATTAAGAAAAAAATACTTAGTCTCTACCTCCCACCTACCAGCAGGTGATGCGCAGCCACTTCCTGGGAAGCAGGGCCTCAGTACACAGTCACTGGTTCAGAAGACAGCGCCTTAATAAGAAATACTCTCCCCTCTTCCACCTTTCCAACCCCCTTTAGCTGTTATTGTAGCATACAATCTGGACTATCCCTTTGGTTGTTGTGGGTCAGCTATGCCCCTTCTCACCCTCTTGCCCACCCACTCCCCACCTAACAGCCTCTGGGGACAAGAGGGGTTGGAGAGACAGCTTTGATGTTGTACAAGATGCTCAGCAGCAGCCAGAACACTGGTATGTTATCAATATTGTCTTAACTATCAATACAAAGCACGGCAGGCAGAAAAACTAACTCCATCCCAGCTACATCTGGTACATGCAGCAAAACATCAAGCTTGTCTCTGCCTGTCCACCAGTTGTGGACAGGGTGGCTCAGTGAATCGCTTTGTCCCCACCAGCCACCCCTGCCTGCCCACCACAGCAGAGAAGCAGAAACACTGAGGAACCAGCTTCACCCCAGAGGTCTACATATCTGTGCAGCTCAAAACCCAGAGGGCTCAAAAGTATTCAGGGTGCCCCATGCTGTTTTATGCCCTGTCCTTGTGAAGGGAAGGGAGGACTCTGGCTTCTGAAGCCATTCCTGATACCTGGCATGAGGCAGGGTACTCCCAGACCTGTCCTTGTGGATGAGATTGGTGCCCATGGTGCCATATGGCAAGAGTGAGAAAGAAATGCAAACGGCAGAAATGCTACCCTACACTCTCCTGTTTTGCAGGAGCCACACCAAATCTGTCTTCCATTTGGCAAATGCCCCTTCTGAACCCTGTCGAGCCTTGATTGTCTGAAACTACTAGATTTCTTTTTCAAGTCATTCCCTTCTACTCATCATTGAAAGATTACTTTAAACTATATTTTTCCACATGTTTGAATATATATTATTTTAAAAAGCACAAGAAATAACCCTATTACAATTCCCAGACTGCATCATGATTTCTCTTTATTGCTATTTAACTTTCAAATAAGTCTTCCTGGAAAAGAGAATAGTCTTGGTGTTGCAGAAACAGATCCTGGCTGAATGCATCATAATCACAAATGCTTTTTCATGTAAAGGGAATATATATCATCTTGATGAATCTCTGATTTAAACTTGAAAAGAAAAACAGATAGTCGGATCCCAAGCTGTGTTCAAAGACGAAGGATGTGCGAGCAGGCTGTGGCAAAGATACTAAAGAGAAATGCTATCATTCTGAGATTTGTCAGCTCATCTTTCAGTTGTGCACGGTGTCATTTATCACCCAGTTTTCATAAGGAAATGCTATGCATTAATCTGTCCTAAAGCAATATTTCATGTTATCTGGCAGTTAGTAAACACTGAAAATAAACAATGATTTAAAAAAAATTTAAAATTGTGTAAGATCTTTCATGGGGGATAAAAGCAATAATTAGATAAATACAACCTGGAAATTA